ACCTGAGGTCAGGAGTTGGGAGACCAGCCTGGCCAACATGGTGAAACCTCGTCTCTACTGAAAATACAAAAATTAGCCAGGCATGGTGGCGGATACCTGTAATCCCAGCTACTCGGGAGGCTGAGACAGGAGAATCACTTGAACCTGGGAGGCGGAGGTTGCAGTGAGCGGAGATCGCGCCACTGCACTCCAGCCTGGGTGACAGACCAAGACTCTGTCCCAAAAAAAAAAGATTCCATCTCTACAAAAAAATTTTTAACCAGCCTGGCCAACATGGCAAAACCCCATCTCTACTAAAACTACAAAAATTAGCCAGGCATAGTGGCGGGTGCCTATAATTCCAGCTACTTGGGAGGCTGAGGCAGGAGAATCGTTTGAACCCAGGAGGTGGAGTTCTTAAAACCACAGGAATCTATTATCTTACGATTCTGGAAGCTGGAAGTCTAAAGTCAAAGTGTCAGCAGAGCTGTGCTGCCTCCAGAGGCTCCAAGGGAGGACCCTTCCTTGCCTCTTCCAGCTTCTGGGGGTCCAGGCTTTCCTTGGCTTTTGGCCACATCACTCCAGTCCCTATCTCCCTCTTCACATGGACTTCTTCCCTCTGTGTCTCCATCTCTCATCTCTCAGTCCTGCCTCCTCCTCTTTTTTTTTTTTTTTTTTTTTGAGACAGGCTCTTGCTCTGTTACTCAGGCTGGAGTGCAGTGGCACAGCCTTGGTTCACTGCAGCCTCGACCTCTCAGGCTCCCATCCTCCTGCCTCAGTCTCTCAAGTGCCTGAGACTATAGGCATGCACCACCACACCCAGCTATGTTTTATTTTATTTTATTTTATTTTATTTTATATTTTTTGAGACAGAGTCTCTGTCACCCAGGCTGGAGGGTAGTGGCACCATCTTGGCTCAAGTTAATTGGCGTCATCTCAGCTCAGTATAACCCCTACCTCCCAGGATCAAGCGATTCTCGTGTCTCAGCCTCCTGAGTCGCTGAGATTACAGGTGCCTTGCCACCATGCCCAGCTAATTTTTGTATTTTTAGTAGAGATGGGGTTTTTTCACCATGTTGGCCAGGCTGGTTAAAAATTTTTTTGGTAGAGATGGAATCTCCCTATGTTGCCCGGCTAGTCTTGAACTCCTGGGCTCAAGCGATCCTCTCACCTTGACCTCCCAAAGTGCTGGCACCACAGGTGTGAGCCACTACACCTGACCCTGTCTCCTCTTTTTAGAAGGACACTATCCATGTGAAACTAGGTCCCACGCTGATGACCTCATCTTAACTAATTACACCTGCAAAGACCCTATTTTCCAAATAAGGTCACATTCAAAAGTCGGTGGAGGGGGTTAAGATATGGACATACTGTTTTATCAGCAACTCTATCAGACCCATCCCTTGCCAGTGACATCTCTAAGGGACTGGCCAGAGTCTCAAATGAATCAGGCACATCCCCTGCCTCAAACCTAGTCCCTGTCCAGGACAGGGGGACAGACACATCCCTTTGAGGCTGGGGTCCAGGTAGAGAATGTTCAGATAAGAGAAGAGCATTTGGGCCAGATGCAGTGGCTCCCACCTTTAATTCCAACACTTCAGGAGGCCAAGGTGGAGGATCACTTGAGACCAGGAGTTAAAGACTAGACTGGGCACCATAGTGAGACCCCATCTCTACAAAAAAATAATAAATTAACTAGCTGGGCACAGTGGCATGCACCTATAGTCTCAGCTACTCAGGAGGCTGAGGCAGGAGGATCACTTGAGCCCAGAGAGTCAAGACTACAGTGAGTTGTGATTGCACCGTTGCATTCTAGCCTGGGCAACAGAGCAAGACCCCAACTCTAAAAATTTAAAAAAAAAAAAAAGAAAAGTAGAGACGGCAGTAGGAGGAGCTACATCATCACAACCAGGAAACTCCCAGGGCCAGATCAGGGGAAGCCCGTGAGGCAGGGCCTAGCCCAGCAGGCTCAGGTCTCTTTATTTAAAATCTTGCTATTTTTGCTCATCATGGAATTTTTTGTTTCTTTTTGCACATTGATTTAGATTTTCTGAAACAGTGTGCTAAAATATTACCTATCTCAATGACTGAGGGTTTTGGGGGACACTCAAGGCAGATGCCTCACACTCCATACCGTGTTTACGGTTCTGGAAATGATACTTTTCGTAGCTACAGACTCTCCCATCCTTGGCCCCGTTAACACGGAGCCCCCGATGAAAATACAGGCATTCCGCTGCCTGTGTTTTCAAAAGTAGGGCCAGGCTCAGGCAGCGTTTGCCAAACCAACAACATCATTTCCCTCCTGGGAAGTAGAAGCAGTCAGGTACAAGGAGTCCCTTATTCTGCCCCCACAACCTCCCCCTCCCCGGAGCACAACAGAGCCCTGCTTCATCCTCCTCTCCCAGCCTCTCCTTCCAACTGTGGTGCAGGAGAAGGACCCCCTGTCCAACGTATGGCATTCAGGTACAAATGGCTCCAAGACCAGAAGTCACCCGGGCCCGGGATTATTCTTAGGAGCTGCCTACGATGGGTAACAGATCCAGACCTCCCACGGGACAGACTTTGCAGATGCCACCAAGCCTGGTCAGCGACCTCTCTCCAAGCCCCCTAGAAAACAGCCATGTGGGGACAAAGAGAGTGAGCCACCCAGACTCAGGCACTGAGCTACTCAATGTTAATTCTGCAGCCCTGGCTGGGCACGGTGGCTCACGCCTGTAATCCTAGTCCTTTGGGAGGCTGAGGCAGGAGGATCGCTTGAGGCCAGGAGTTCAAGACCAGCCTGGGTAACATAGCAAGACCCCGTCTCTTAAAAAAAGAAAAACATTGTACTATAGTCCCAGCTACTCAGGAAGCTGAGGCAGGAAGATCCCTCAAGCCCAGGAAGTCAAGGCCACAGTGAGCTGTGATCGTACCACTACACTCCAGCCTGGGCAACAGAGTGAGACCCTGTCTCCAAAGGAAAAAATATGTTTTTGTTTTAAAAATCCTGAAGCCTTGAGAGCATCACTTCACCCTCAGCCTCCTTGTACCAGGCTGCGGCTGTGCCTGCTGACGCAGAGAGCAGAGTCACAGCCCTCCGCCAGCGTGTTCAGCATGAGGCAGGCAGGCGCACGCAGATAGCAGCGTCCCAGCCCTCCGCCGGCATGTTTGGCATGAGGCAGGCAGGCTCACTGTCATTCCTTCTTTTCTTCGCTCCTTCACCCACCCCTCTGCTCACAGAGCCCTGTGCCAATTCACTGCTCTGCCCACCCCATGCACCCACCCACCTTGCCCACCAGGGGTCTGCAAGGTAAAATACACAGCAGGTAAATCAGCCGCTGTTCATGCCTGCAAAGGTTCCATGTTCTGTTCCCAGCTTCCCCCACGCCACGAGCCAGACCCTGCTGGCCAAGTTCAAACAGCAGCATGAGGACAATAAGTACTTCCTGGGCACCCCGGTCATGGAGCCAGCCTTCATCATCCAGCACTTCGCAGGGAAGGTGAAATATCAGATCAAGGTAGGTGTCTGCCCATCACCGTTGGCGGAAGCCTGAGGGAAGCCATAGTCAGCCCAGAATTCCACGTGGGAGGATCCTCCTGTGGCCAAGGTTCTAGGGTGCTCAGAACCCACCGCGAATCCCCAGCTCCAATGCCCAAGACTCCATAGCTCAAGAACTGCCATTTGCGCTTAGGATGGACCCCACCCCACCACCAGCCCTTCCTGCGCCAGCCCCGGGTCTTTGGTAGGCACTGGTGACTATCCCTGAGTGACCGCCCACATCCATCCCCCACCAGGACTTCCGGGAGAAGAACATGGACTACATGCGGCCAGACATCGTGGCCCTGCTGCGGGGCAGTGACAGCTCCTACGTGCGGGAGCTCATTGGCATGGACCCTGTGGCCGTGTTCCGCTGGGCCGTGCTCCGGGCCGCTATCCGGGCCATGGCCGTGCTTCGGGAGGCCGGACGCCTGCGGGCCGAGAGGGCCGAAAAGGCTGCAGGTGGGAGCTGGGGCGTGAGCCCACACAAGCGTCACTGTCGAGAGGGGGGCACATCCTGAGTTCGTCTTAAAGTGAACAGTTCATTGGCATTTAGTACATGCATTATGTTGTGCAAACGCCACCTGTCTACCTGCAGTGTTCCCATCACCCTGAACAGAAACTCGACCTGCGAGTGTAATTTAACCTCAGGGCATGCTCTCAGCAGCTCCATCCGGCCTCTCCTTTGCTAATGATGCCTCCTGATCCGCTGGCCCTGGGAGTTTGCTGATTGTGATAATGTAACTCTTCCTAGTGCCCTCCCTCTTCTTTCTCTCTCTCTCTCTCTCTCTCTCTCTCTCGCTCTCACTCTTTTTTTGTTTTTTAAGAGACAGGGTCTCTCTCTCTTGCCTAGGCACTAGTGTAATGACGCAATCTTGGCTCAGTGCAACCTCCGCCTCTCTGGTTCAAGTGATTCTCCTGCTTCAGCCTTCCAAGTAGCTGGGACTACAGGCGACCGCACCAGGCTAATTTTTGTGTTTTTAGTAGAGATGGGCTTTCGCCATGTTGGCAAGCCTGGTCTCGAACTCCTGACCTCAAGTGATGCGCCTGCCTCTGATTCATGAAGTGCTGGGATTACAGGTGTGAGCCACCGCGCCCAGCCTCAGCCTCTTCTCTTATCTGGACATTCTCTACCGGGAACCCAGCCTCAAAGGGACATTTCTGTTCCCCTGTCCTAGACAGAGATGGTTTGAAGCAGGAGGTGTGCCTGATCCACTGAAGACTTGGGTCAGCCCTATAGAGTTGCTGATAGAAGGACGGCAGAAAGCTATGTCCTCATTTTTCCCAAAGCAACCTGAGGCCTGCATGGTTGAGTGGCTCACCCGGGTCTAAGGGCTCCGACTTTCCGTCCTCAGCTTCAGTTTCAGTTATCAGCTGTGGCTTCTGTCTCCGGAAGGGGCTTGATGAAAAGGAGGAAGGATAAAGCTTTCATGAGAAATAGGAAATAGACAGTGCTCTGTTTTGGGGATCCAAAACTTCACAGTTAACCAGACTTTGCCCACATTTGAGTGATGAGCTGCTTTGTGTGTGTGTGTGTGTGTGTGTGTGGAGACGGAGTCTCACTCTGTTGCCCAGGCTGGAGTGCAGTGGCGCAATCTTGGCTCACTGCAAGCTCCGCCTCCCGGGTTCATGCCGTTCTCCTGCCTCAGCCTCCAGAGTAGCTGGGACTACAGGCGCCTGCCACCACACCCGGCTAATTTTTTTAATTTTTAGTAGAGAAGGGGTTTCACTGTTTTAGCCAGGATGGTCTTGATCTCCTGACCTCGTGATCTGCCCGCCTCAGCCTCCCAAAGTGCTGGGATTTCAGGCGTGAGCCTGGCCGATGAGCTGCTTTTTAAGATCGGTCTACTAGACACAGTGGCTCACGCTTGAAATCCCAGCACTTCGGGAGGCTGATGCAGACGATTGCTTGAAGTCAGGAGTTCAAGACCAGCCTGACCAACATGGTGAAACCCCATCTGTACTAAAAATGCAAATATTAGCCAGGCATGGTAGTGCATGCCTGTGGTCCCAGCTACCACAAGGAGGCTGAGGTAGGAGAATCGCTTGAACCCAGGAGGCGGAGGTTGTAGTGAGCCAAGATCATGCCAGTGCACTCCAGCCTGGATGACAGAGCAAGACTCCGTCTCAAAAAATAAATAAATAGGCTGGACGCGGTGGCTCACACTGTAATCCCAGCACTTTTGCGAGGTGGGTAGACCACTAGGTCAGACGGTTGAGACCAGCCTGGCCAACATAGTGAAACCCGTCTCTACTAAAAATACAAAAAATTAGCCAGGCGTGATGACAGGCGCCTGTAATCCCAGCTATTCAGGAGGCTGAGGCAGGAGAATCACTTAAACCTGGGAGGCGGAGGTCACAGTGAGCCGAGACCGTGCCACTGCACTCCAGCTCAGGCGACAGTGCAAGACTCTGTCTCAAAAAGTAAGTAAATAAATAAATAAATGAATAATAAGATGGGTCGAAGTGTCAGGGTACAATGGTACACACTGGTAGTCTTAGCACTTTAGGAGGCCAAGGCAGCTCACTTGAGGCCAGCTATTTGAGACCAGCCTGGGCCACATAGTGAGACCCCATCTCTCCAGAAAAGTTGAAACTTCGTCATGTGTGTCAGCATGTGCCTCTAGCGCCAGCTACTTGGGAGGCTGAGGCAGGAGGATTGCTTGAGCCCAGGAGTTGGAGGTTACATGAGCTATGATCGCACCACTGCACTCGGCCTAGGCAATGCAGCAAGACCCTGTCGGTAAACAATTAAAAAAAAAAAAATGTGGGGGGGTGTCGCAGAGGCTCATGCCTATAATCCCAGGATTTTGGGAGGCCAAGGTGGGCAGATCACCTGAGGTCAGGAGTTCAAGACCAGCCTGGCCAACATGGTGAAACCCTGTCTCTACTGGAAATACAAAAATTAGCTGGGCACAGTGGCCTGTAGTCCTAGCTACTCAGGAGGCGGAGACAGGAGAATCACTTGAACTCAGGAGCCAGAAGTTGCAGTGGGCCAAGATCACGCCACTGTGCTCCAGACTGGGTAACAGAGCAAGACTCCATCTCAGATAAATAAATAAAATGGGTTAAAATAATTGCAGCCTCCACAGGAGGCCATCCCAACCACCGTCCACTCTGTGTCTCCAGCAGGTATGAGCAGCCCTGGTGCCCAAAGTCACCCGGAAGAGCTGCCAAGAGGAGCCAGCACCCCTTCAGAAAAACTTTACCGGTGAGCAAGACCCTGATTTGCCCACACTGAGATCATTAGGTGGCAGCAGCATTGTTTCAAACAACTTAGGGAATGCTACATT